GCCTTTGGCGGCGAGCAGGCGGTTCAATGTCTCCTTGTTTTATGTTTTATGGTTATTTTGTTTAAATTTTTGATGGAGAAAAAAAAAAAGATTAAAAAAAAAAAAAACTTTGTCCGACCTACCGACCCTATGCTGAAATTTCATGTTCCTGGAAACAAATCTTTTTTCTTTGGCCTTACATAGTTAAAGTGTCAAGAATCCCAGAAGTCCTCTGATCTTACCTTGCTGAGAAGAGGCTGCAGCTTGGTCAGCGCAATGACAGTGGCCTCTATCAATACTTGGCTGTTGTAATTATCAGGACCTTTCAGACAGCTCTCAAGACCCTTATAATGTGAAAAATATGGAATGAATAAACGGTCGTTGAAATGTCATAGCATTCAAAGCCAAATAATCCAGTGACAAGAAGTGCTCCTTCTGACCCGGTCTATGCTGAGGAGAGGGCTGGCCTTGCTGAGGATTCGGATTATCTGCTTGATCTGACCGTGGCTGACCCGCTTACTGATGCAACCAAACACCACGAGGGCTCTGGGCTGGAGAGATGGGTTGTACTGGAATGCAAACCTGGTCACAACCAAAATCAGGATTAAGCATAACAATAACAATCATGGCTATTATCCAATAATAATGACAAATAACTGTCATACTTCTGTGCAAGCTCTGTCCACTGGTCCAACCACTTACAAGACGGGATGTCCCTCATACAAGCCTATGGAAAATTTGTAAAACCCATGAAAAAGCAATGTTGTAACTAACAAGATTTCTAAACAATCACAGAGGTGGTGGAAAAATTACTGACCTCCATGATTTCTAGTAAGGCCTCTGTAACAGTCTCCAGGGACGAAAGAGCAAAAGTCTCCCTTTCGTATGACCCGGGGGAGAAGGAGCGGTCTCTGTAGCTGGAGCGGAAGGCGATGACAGCTGCTGACTTGACTTTGCTGATTCCAAAGAGCAGGTAAAACTTGGGCAAGGAGAACTCTGTCAGGCTCAAGCGCAGCACTTGTTTTGTCTCTTCTAAAAAATGAAAAAGGATCCACTGAGAATGTCTTTTCAAATGATAAAACTAGGTATCACCATTAATGTTGTCTATGGGAATATGAACAGATGAAGTCCTCACCGCTAAAGTTAAGCTGCGAGCAAGTACAAAGGGAATGAATGATGTTGATAACTAAACCATGGGTAGAAGCCCTGAGGGACAGGGGCCCAGTGGCTACCAGCAGGGTCACAACATGGAACAGGTATGGCAGGTGGGCAGCAACATCCAAAGAGTTGTTGAAAGAAAGCATTAGCATGTAGCGTGCCAGAATGGCAATGTCATCCCACATCAGGTGCTGCTCCAGCGTTGGCGTTGGTGACAAGCAGGTCTTGTCGATGATCTTGCACATTCGACCAATGACCTGTCACAAAGAACAACAAATAAGACTGACATTCAACTTTTGTCACACGCTTTCAACTCTGCGGCTTATTTCATGAAGCGGCTTATATAAAGACTTTTCTAACGGCCGCCTGTGTACCGTCTTTCTTTGTAAATATCTCATGTTACAATATGGGCATCTGCGGCTTAGACACAGGTGTGGCTTATGTGTGTACAAAATATTTTTTTCTTTAAAATGTAGTGGTGCGGCTTATAATCAGGTGCAGTCTATAGTCCAGAAATTACGGTATTTAATTGTTCTATAAATAAAAGAGCAACCCAGATATAAAGTTTAAGTGATGTTGAAAATCTTATCAATTGTATGATATGCAAAAGGGAATGACTTTTTTTTTTTACAGTATGATTTGGACTTCAAATGTAACACTGGGTGTTCTGATGAAATGGTCTAAACAATGGACCTCTTTCAGTAGATACTGCTGTCTACAATAATAGGAGCCAGGGCCTGGGTTTACTATTGTGTCTGTCTGTTGTTTTTTGTTTATGAGTAGCAAGTCTAACTGGGATACAGCACAGAAGCAAGTGAGTTGAGATTGCCGCTCTACCTCTTAAGTCATGAACGATGGATTTATTTCTTCAAGTGGTAAGTATATTAACCTTTATAGACCAATTTTTAATACATTTTATCGATTATTTCCATGTGTCCTTGATTAAATGCTCTGATATTAAGTTGCCAAGCTCATGACTTAAACTATGACATCAAATAACATTCCATTGCAGCTACTTTGCGCATCTTGGATGATTTATTTTGGGTGTCGTTATGAAATAAAATGAGTTCAGAGTACTTCATTGCAGGTTCTCACTCATCCCATATCCCTTGTCAGGATCCACCAAAATTGAATCAAGGCAACTAAATCTGCTTTGGGTGATTGAAAATGTTTCATCTGTTATCCAAGGGGCGTCTTCAGTTCACTGAAGAAGTAGTCAAGTTAGCTGTGAGTGACAATTTGTGGGTGATCAGTTTACATTTGACAGCAATATTTTGGCAAAGTGATGGAGTACACTTTGCCAAAACAGCTAGTTTTTCTGAATATACGGGCAAAAAACAAGTAACATCATCCCACGACATAACACAAAAGGACATAGCCTCACCTTACTGGAGACCAATTTAACATTTCCCGATGCCAAAGCCACAGCAGTATCAGCCATGACCTCAGCCTTGATAGAGCCCAGGCCTCCTGTTGCGCTAGTTTTGATAAAGCTGTCCAACACCACGTCCAACAAATCTGTAATCTAAATACACGATGATAGCATTTAAGGACAAATGGCAAAAAATCCTGAATGAATTCTACATTCATCCATCCACCTGTCTATTTTCAGTACCGTTAAATGAAATACAGTATACACTTCCATGAGTCGTTGCTGTGGTTCACTCACCTGGCCCAAGCTGCCCCAGATCTTAGCTTGAATGGATGGATACATTTGCTTTTCATTGATGGTCATAGTGATGAGCTTGTCTAAAATGGCAGTGACACGCTGCCGCTTGGCATCATCATTGTGCTTACAAAAGCGAACGAGGTTTAGCAGCCAGGGTGTCATGTACTCCAAACAAAGGTGCTTCAGCTCGATACCTGCAGAACAAACATTTGATGACATAATTCACTTTTAGGTCAACGGTAATGTTGAGGGGACATTAATTACAAGCCACGAGTACAATGTAACCAGTGCAACTGAAAAAAAATACTTAAAACATTTCCAAGCAATTTGAGAGCAGCCAAATTGGGAAAAGGCTTAATAAAATATCAAACGTTGGTGAAGAGCTTGTTAGTGATCCACATTTTTTTAAATATCAGAACTGGGCATTCCTTCGGACTGATGGAAGGTGTATCAGTACCGTATTGGCCCGAATATAAGACGGCCCTGATTATAAGACGACCCCTTCTTTTTCAAGACTCAAGTTTGAAAAAAGACTTTTTGAACACCAAATTAATTTTTATACAGAAAATAACTACAGTACATCTGAAACAAATGATTATAACAATATATTTGAGAGAAAAAGCATGTTATTTTGCCTCATTTAAATCTTAATATCTGAACATTTAAATATGTAAACTAAATTAATTCATAAATGAATGGCTTCTGGTTTTTGAAATGTAAATTACATCATAACTTCTCCTCAGCTGCCGGTTAACCTGGCCTATCTTCGACCTACTTTTCTCCAGATTGTCGCTACATTTCTCCATTTTCTGTTATCTCTTTTATTATTTTCTTCTCTTTTCTTTCTTACCGCTATTTTTTATTTTTCTTCTTCATGCTACCGCTATTTTTATTTTTAGTCTTCGTGACAGGGGTTCACTTTGGCCTGGGGAGTCAAGTTCAGCATTCGCTTCAAGGATATCTGTCGCCATCTAGCGTCGTGAATGGGCATAATGTCTAGACCCCGAATATAAGACGACTCCCACTTTTTCAGTCTTATTTCAATGCAAAAAAACCACCGTCTTATATTTGGGCCAATACGGTATTTCAGTCAGTAATTCAGGCCGACCCAACTGGGTCCAGTCTGTCCCGTGGCGGCGACACACATAGGTGCGGCACAAGCCGACACACACCTCGAAAACAACAGACACACACACACAAGCACAGCGTGGTGATTGGTGAAATAAAAACATTATGTGACATGTCATTGATGTCTATGGGGCTGACAGGTATCTGATACTTATTTAAAATTTTGGCTGCCTGTCAGGTGTACGGCACCTGGGTGTAGCGTTCTACCGGTAAATGCATTCTGGATGCCATTTGGCTATCGCCGATGACTCGGAACGGACCGGGCTGGCCTGAAACACTGACGGAAGCTCACTGACTCACCGTACCGACGATGCCCACCTGTGTTACTTTTGTGACATGACGGACATTACCACCACCGATATTACGAAAAGTCTTTCTAGACTCATATAGTCATGTCTTTGGTTATCACTGTTGCTTGTTACAGCAACACTAGTGTAGCTCATACTACCAGAGACAAATTCCTTGTGGGTTTTACATACTTTGCCAATAAAGACAATTCAGATTCTGAGGAAAAAGTGATGCCTTGGCAGAACTCTGCCTCAATTTTATTGTCTTAAGAGTAAAACATTAGCAACAGTTCTGAATATGATACAGTACTGTTCTACACCACTGCAAACCACAACCCCATCGGGAACATCTGTCCATCCTTCTAGTTTATATACACATACCTACAAAATATATGTCATTTAGTTGGATTTGGTTGCGTTACTCTGTGTACAACGGCTCTGAAGGGTACTTACTAGATTTGCTGAAGCCAGAGATGCACTCCTCCAGAAACTCCAGTGTCAGATGGGGTTCATTGGCAGCTAGTGTCTTACTGATAGAGACGATGAAAAGAGTGTTGTTGGCTGGAATGCAGAGGCCTGATGTCTCCAACAACTGGCCTTCTATCTTCAGGTTGAAGGTGCAAGTCAAAGCACACAACAGATTGTAAGCCGCAGATCTGAGCAAGAATGGGCACAGGATCGGTGTTAATATTTTACAGTGATTTAAAAAAAAGACAGATATTCGCTTAACGATGTTCAAAACAAAAAGGAGGGTACACAGAGAGGCCACAATGAATTAATGTATCACTAAGAGTTTCAACCCTGTATAAATATATACACTATGCAGATAAGCCTGTTTGGTACAAAGTAAACTTGCAATTGTGTTTAAAAAGAAAAAAACACCAACAACAACACTGAATGTCTGTTTATTGCTACAATATTAGTGACTAGTGCTCATACACTGCATTGGAGGAAACCTCTAGCTGCAAACATTAAAGCTGTCACTATTGAATAATTTGAGAACTGATTATCCGAACAACTTTTACATCAAATAATCGATTTATAAGGACCCCCCCCCCCCCCAAGAATGTTCCTTACAGAATCAGTCCAAGCGTTGACACCTCTTTGCACATCGACTTTTTCTGAAGTTATTGTAAAGGAACACTACAGTCATTTTTAAATTAAACAGTGGCCCCCACAATAAAAAAATAAAATAAAATAAGATCGAGTCAGGGAATGGTGTATCTACACTTGGCTGATGCAGCGAGCGCATCACCGCAGCTGTGAGTGAGTGAGTAAAAGGGCAAGCAGTGTTGGGAATGTTACTTAAAAAGTAATTAGTTAGAAATACAAATTACTTCTTCCAAAAAGTAATCAAGTGACTAACTCAGTTACTGCCTAATAATAGTAATTTGTTACTCAGCAAAGTCCTATCCATAGTGTAAAATGTTTATAATAGCTCAATCAATAAAAACTGCATAAACTAGTCGATAACAACAAAAAGCCTGTTCTTTATAACTTAACTTTATTTCTGGTTTCAGTCTGTAAAGATTGGCATGCTGATGTATTTTTTTTTTTAAACTGCTGAAAAGAATTAGTATTCGTCTGTACTGTACTGACCTGAGACTGGGGTCAGAGCTGCCCAGGTTGAGCAGAGCAATATTTAACAGCGTGCCGGGAACATCTTTGGGTCGGATCTTGGTGTGCTGAGGGATTGAGTCAGGCTGCGATAGCTCCCATCGCGTTCGAATGTGGATAATAGACTGGACAATTGCGTCACATTCCTGATGCATGAAAGTAAGCGGTGTGCCCTGATTGGCCATGGTGAGTGTGAACTGGCTCTCATCTACCAGACATATCTCCTCAATTTCTGAGGCATAGTAGACATCATTGAGGAAGACAGGCTGTCCAAGAACACGGGTCCGTTCGGCCGAGGTCACCTGTACCGCTGTCGAGCCGACCTAAAAGGGGAGGAAAATTTATCGTTTGACCTAATCGAGTTGGCTTGGGTACGGTAATACATTTAACAGCAGATTCAGACGTGCATCCAGTAAAAATGACTTCGGATAAATCCTCACCTTTATTGAGACCTTGGTATCTTTGTGAGCCAGTTTGAGAGCATTATGGAAAACTTTGAGATCCTCCTCCAGAGTTAGCGTGGCAGCAGGTAGCTTCTGTTGGTCAGGTTCAATGTGCTCGGCTAGCTTAGCTGGAGAGTCGATGAACTGGAGCCTCTTACTCCCCTTTAAACCAGTCAGTAGCCGCTCATGGTATTTTGTGTACTCTCGCACCCAAGTATTGCAGTTGTAGACATAGACAGCGGTGACGTTTTCATACGCAAAACCGGGAAAAACCACAAACCACTTGGACAAAAAATCTGTCTTGAAGCGGTTGCTTGGGCCTACATGAGTCAAGTCCACCACAATCTCATATGGTTTGGCGTAATAAGGTTTCAGGGTGAGGAGTACATGGTAGATGAGCAGGTCTCCATTGATCTGTCCAGTTTTGAATCTAAAAGGAATGATACAAAAACAAACAGTGACATATATAAGGTTTTCTGTGGTAGATGATGTTCATCAATGTGCGTTTAATGTATGTGACAAATATTGAATATTGTTGAAACACCAAAACATATTTCTGTCTTTTGTTGGCAGATTTGAGGAACAAAAGCAAGGTGTCCGAAATAACAACACGATTAAAAGAGCCAGGAAGTTGCTTCATTGTATTTTGAGAAGACATCAGCAGGAATTGTGCAACTCCACCAAGATCTCTTTTCTCCCTCTCCCTTTCTTTAAAGAAGTATGTATTGACACAAAATTGTGCAACATCAAACGGTTTCGGCAATGTTCAGAAAGATTTAATCAACGCGAGTTGAAATGAAATATTTTTTTCTCTAAATCACAGAACAGAATGGAAGGAACAAGAGCTCTCTGGCTGTTGGTCATGCTGTTACTCTGTCACATCAACGCAGACCTCTCCGTTCCAACTTTGGAGCTGAACCAAACCACCAAAGACCACACAAACTCTCCTGACAAGGACAACAATGGCACGCGAGCAGACTGTTTGGTTGACACTGAGATGGGTGTGATTGCAATAAGCTCGGCAGGGGGTGTGATTTTTTGCCTAGTGATTGCCACTGTGGTATTGGCCTGTCAACTCTTCCACATTCGGCGCCAGGTTTACTCTCCACAGGCCTCCCACTCCAATATGTACTTAGTGAGTAGTACAGACTACTGGGACACTCACCCACCTGCGATCGAAGGCCTGGATGGGCCGTGTGACACCAGTGTCATGCTGGAGGAGGTGACAGCAGACAACACAATACAGGAAGAGAATGAAGTTGAATTGCAAAGGGAAGAGGAGGGGTCTATGGTAGAAACTGAACAGAAAGGAAAAGTTTTCAATCCTGAGGCGATTGATGGTCAGATGCTCAGCTCAGACTCAAAAGACTTGTCTGGAAATCTCAAGTGACTTTGGTAAACTGCAATCTTTAAACGCAGAAACCTCGTGTCTGTTCAGTTCAAAGGATATTTAACAAGGTGTGTTGTGTGTCCTATAACTAGGACTATTAAAATCAAAGAGCTGACCTACGATGTACTATGGGGTCCACAAGATATGGACCTCTAATTCCCCCGCCCCCATTTAGGTAGGGTTGTTTGTGTCAGGTGTGTACTGAATGTGAATGGTTAGGCAGAAGACTCGGTGCCGACCTTTGATGTGAACTCTTTTTTGGGGGGGCGGGGGGGCTGAAACTACATTCACATAATAGCAGAAACGCAGGCCAATAAGTCTTATTCATCTTCCTACAATAATGGCCAAAGGCATTTATTTTTTTCGGTTTTCTTCCTGAAAACACAAACAATTAAACCAAATACTGATTAAATTAAAATGAGTAATTATTTTCATTTCAGGGGTAGAATTAAGTGATGTGTTTAATCACGGATGCAGACGATTTTAGTAGAAGTCGCCTGCATCCTAAAGGCAAAAAAGTTATTCTGGCCAAACTATGACTGAGGCCAGTATTTTAAGAGGATGACTTGATACTTGACTTGATGGACCAAACATTTAGCAAATCTCTTTAAAAAGGTTAATTCACCTTATAACCCATATTGTGGTCATTTTTTTTTCTTTATGTGAAACTTGCAATTGTTGTTTCAGATCATTTTCTAAAATCACTCAAGTTCCAGATGACTCGTGAACTTTGTGAGACTGTTTAAAACCAATAATGTGTAAAATAGTGTATAGTGTGAATGTAAACAGAAAATATGTCTTATTTAGCAGACAACAGTTATTTAGTGGAAAGTATGAGCAAATTTCAGTTGGAGTCAGTCAGACTTTCAGAATACAGTGACTCCTCGACTATTTGTGAAGTAATTGGAGTTTTACTGGAAATATTCACTGAGAACCCCTTTTGGAAAAAAAAAAATGCATTAAAGGCAAGTCTTGCACTTGTAATGCATTTTTGTGGAAATCAAACAATCTGTGGGCCATTTTTTCTGAATAGTAATGTTTAAATATGAATTTGAAGTTCTATTTAAGTTATTAAATATTGGTTGACAAATGGACAGCAAAGGATAAGAAAACCAGTAAAACCAGATTTCCCTGCATTCCAAGCTCTGATTGCGATCCAGTTTGCGAATAGTAGTCATTTCCATTTGATTTTCCTGTGATATCAGCTCACCTTCACCTGGGCGCTGATTCTCTAAACAGACACTGCACCCTGGGCTCACAAATTCTGACAGGCCACACGGTTTCCCCTAACACCGACTTGTTGAAGAAACCAAGCGCAGGACACTTAGTAATTACTAACATTACCACATACTGGTGAGTTGTACAATTAATCATTTATTTGTATTTGTTTCTTTGGCCGTCCCTCAAAATATGTCTCAAAGTGAAACTCCTTCAAGGTGCAAATCAGGTTTGGGACTGCTGTTTTAACTCAAGCTAATGAAAAGTGCGTTTCTTCAATGAGAAAAATGAAGCCCAACGTGCACTCGATTTGCTTCAATTCAGACTGTATATATTATTTATTAAAAATAAAGCGCAAAATACTTCAGTAATTTCTCTACCATAATTAATAAAGAGCATGGTGATCTTTCAGTTGATCTCCCCTGAATCTTTGTCGCTGTTGTCTTCTAGCTTCTATGGTTACAGCAACTTAAAAGGGTACATCTTGCCACTACCGAAGGTTTCATTCTGATTATATAAACCCATGAATTTCTTTTATCCAGACCTCTATCAACACAAATGTGCATGCTCTATTATACCGTCACGTTATGAACATAACAGTGTCTTTTGTCTTTGAGCTCGGCATTTATGCAACATCCACATTGCGCTATGGAGTCATTTCCTGCAAAAATTTGACTTTGGCAACCTACTGAGTTCGGCAGCTAAGTCTATTAGCGTGACGATACTTCAGTGAACACAGGCCATTTAGAATGCACTGGCTTGCCACCAGTTTCACAAGACTTCCTGAAAGTGAAAAAGGAGTCGGTCAGTCTTTCAAACTGTAAACAGCAGTTAATAGAATCCACGCCCGGTGATCTTGCTTCAATTTAACAGACATTCTGCGTGTAGTTTCAGACCAATCCGACAATCCGTGGTAAGAAATTCTACACTTTCATCAATATTTTCTTCCTGTCTTCAAGAAATTTGTGCTTTTACCATTCTGATCATCATGAAAAGTCCTACCATCTACAAATAAGCATGATTTATCATCCGTTTGCTCAATCTTGTCATTTCATTCAGTATTTGATCCATTTGTATGATGACAGAAACTATATTCTCTCGCCAAAAAAGAATAGCTCTGCTGATTACATTTGTGTCAATTCAGCGTGATCTACTATAGAGGGGAAGTCGCTTAATATAATAACAGAGCTGGTCCCAATTTGTTGCTTTAATGTGCGAAATGTTTTGGATTACAGATGCAATGAGTCATTTTCACACACTACATCTTATCAAAATGATTTTGGTTTTGTCGTTTTATTTTGTTGTGTAAATGTGTGTAAAAGACATAATACAAACTAGGGCTGAACCACTTAGGAAAAGACTGAACTGCTATTTTTTCTGATTGCAATTTTGAGTCACTTCATGATTTTCTTCAAACTTCAATGCATTATTCACTATGTACAGTAACATACAAAAATGATAAAATAAAATACTGACAAAACTTGAAAAGCCATTTCTGTCATAATGCACTGACATGAAAGAGGTGATGGAGGCATCTTTGGAATTTTTTTTAGTTTTTTTAAAATGGTTTGGGAAAGCAAGACCTATTGCTTGCTGTCATAATTGTATTAAGCCATTATGTGGAATAGTTTAGATTTGTTTTAACCAAAAATATGTTAAATTTTGTACTAATGTACATGCATTTTATACATGAATATAAGATTATATGTAAATATGTTTCCCATTTTTTGTCAACTGCCTCGAACAGAGACTGAGGGCTTAGTGGTATGGCTTGAAATCCATATCATGGTAGAAATTGAAGCCCTTGACATTAATGTTGAGGTAAAAGTGCAAAAAAATCATAATTATTTCTGAACGGGTTAGGCTCAGAAAGTACTTTTATTGTTCTCCCTGCTTCTTTTCATTCAAATTTGGCATTTGCATGTAAACATGTCTGCATTTTCTTTTATGAAATGAAATTAACAAATAATAAACATCTAGTCTTAGGCGAAGCAAAATTTATCACACACAAAAAAAATAATTTTGAGACCCTGTATGTAGATCGCAAAACTCAGTACATGTGGTCATGAAAACCCAAAAAAATAATCGAACGTCTCTGTTCTCGACCAAATCGGTTTTCGACCAAAAATTTTGAGTTTTTCATGCCTCGGATTACGACCGAAAATCGGTTCTCGACCAAACTGAGCGCACTTGAATGCGCCACTTGACTCCTCTCGCCTTCCTTACACGAGGAAGTGACGCTTCCTCGTGTAGCGTTCCATTGTGAGCAGACGTGTTCAATAAAGCTTTTTTTTTTTTTTTTTTTTTTAAAGAGCGTGGTTTCGGTTTTCGAACAGCCTTCTGGAACGGATTATGGTCGAAAACCGAGGTATGACTGTAGTTCTGACCTGACAAGCTCCTTGTCATGACTGAGGTCAGCCATAACCGATTCATTTCTCGTTTGAGTATGCGCTTATTACTGTATGCAGCTATTGTCTTAATTTTCTCTAGATACATATTAATTGCATTAGTAATTTGCTGATCACAGCTAGTTGCAATATCAGAAACCAGAAAACAAGTTCTGATCCATTTGGTCCATTTTGATTTTTGGAACAAATATGAAAAATTTTTTTTTTCCCAACTTACACTTTAGCTCCAAAAAAGGAATGAACAAAAATGAAACACAGATTTCCTGGATCAAATTAGCAACCAATCATTCAGTGTCAACATTTTAATTTGACTGAGAATGTCAACACTTTAACAAATTGTTCTCCCTGCTTCTTTTCATTCAAATTTGGCATTTGCATGTAAACATGTCTGCATTTTCTTTTATGAAATGAAATTAACAAATAATAAACATCTAGTCTTAGGCGAAGCAAAATTTATCACACACAAAAAAAATAATTTTGAGACCCTGTATGTAGATCGCAAAACTCAGTACATGTGGTCATGAAAACCCAAAAAAATAATCGAACGTCTCTGTTCTCGACCAAATCGGTTTTCGACCAAAAATTTTGAGTTTTTCATGCCTCGGATTACGACCGAAAATCGGTTCTCGACCAAACTGAGCGCACTTGAATGCGCCACTTGACTCCTCTCGCCTTCCTTACACGAGGAAGTGACGCTTCCTCGTGTAGCGTTCCATTGTGAGCAGACGTGTTCAATAAAGCTTTTTTTTTTTTTTTTTTTTTAAAGAGCGTGGTTTCGGTTTTCGAACAGCCTTCTGGAACGGATTATGGTCGAAAACCGAGGTATGACTGTAGTTCTGACCTGACAAGCTCCTTGTCATGACTGAGGTCAGCCATAACCGATTCATTTCTCGTTTGAGTATGCGCTTATTACTGTATGCAGCTATTGTCTTAATTTTCTCTAGATACATATTAATTGCATTAGTAATTTGCTGATCACAGCTAGTTGCAATATCAGAAACCAGAAAACAAGTTCTGATCCATTTGGTCCATTTTGATTTTTGGAACAAATATGAAAAATTTTTTTTTTCCCAACTTACACTTTAGCTCCAAAAAAGGAATGAACAAAAATGAAACACAGATTTCCTGGATCAAATTAGCAACCAATCATTCAGTGTCAACATTTTAATTTGACTGAGAATGTCAACACTTTAACAAAAAAGTGCAATAGCTAAGGCTATGGGAATATTTTTTTATTCATTGATGTAGCATTTTAACTTAAAAAAAACGTTCTATAATTACAGCTGCAAAGACAAACCAAATGGCAACAACACAGACGGAAACTATGATCCTCCACCTCGTAAGCCTAGTTTTCATATTGCCACTGCAAACAAGTGGTGCAACGACATTTGGCCATGGTGACAGTATAATTGGAGTGACAACTGGTGAGATCAAAGAAAATCGCACTCACGTCCGGCAACCAACAATCACTTACAATCAGAAACCTCCAAACATCACAGAAGAAATGAAGGCGGCTCAGGCAACAACAACCGGCATCATAACTTCCCTGAAAACAAATCCACCGGTAGGAATGACAAACGCCACCAAAGTAATTCAAAGCACTGCATCTCCAATGCTCACAAGATCCACCCAAAGCCAGAACATGGAACAAACGGTCCTCCCCTCGACTATTAAAATGACCCATTCATCTACAGACTCAAAACTCATTTCTAGTGCAGCCGCATCTTCAACCTCATCTGTCGAAAACAAACCTACAAATACAGGTGGGGATACTACGCCGTCCACAGAGTCATACAAACCTTCAAGAGTCACTATCACTGAGCCAAATAAAATCCAAGAACCTCCAACAGAAAATTTGAATCATGTCTCAATTCACAGCCAAGTAGTGGCAGGACTAATAGGTGTGGCTCTGGTATCAATGATTGTTGGAATCTTGGTCATTGTTGTGAAGAAACGCAAACTTCAGAAAGAGCAGTTAACAACGACTGCCTGGGCTGGTCCTTCGCCATTTCTCAACCACGGAGATGACAACGGTCGAGTAACACTGAGGTCATCGAATAGGATTTCTGCCGCCAGTTTCCTGGCTCAGAAAACTTCCAAAAGGCTGTCTTTTCTCCCGGAAATACAAGAGGAGTCGGAAGCCAAAACACCAGCTTCTACTTTCGGAAGGACACATCAAGGGAGTACATCTGAATCAGAATTGGATACCAGAAGTGCACTGGAAAGAATTGATACAAAAAAGACTGAGGATAATTCTCCCATTGTAACTTCAACGAAACAAAGCATCACAAATGGCGATGCTGGCAACGAAAACTGTGACTCTATCTGCACTCAGGAAAACGACTTTGGGCAATCTTAATTACGCAAAAAATCTTAACCAACAAAAGGTCATTGACAAATACCCTGTCCCGAAAAAATTAGGCAGCATATTGCAAAAAAAAAAAAAAAAAATCAGACATCTTTTACACAAGATGCACAGTGTATTGAAGCTACAATCAATAAAGACAATAATAACTGAAATAACTTAAAACAGGAAATTGCTAAAGAGTTGACTACTGTCCAAAAGAACAGGGAAAAGGACAATTTTAGTCACTTCTGTTCAAATGCTTGTAAGAGCTGTATGTGCGTATCTGGCTGGCTGTGTCTTTCGCAGAATTGGCAGTTGGGACTCAACGGGCAGATTATGAGAGTACGCTTTGATCGCCCAACCGGAATAGCCGTCAACCCGCTCGCATTAATCCAAGGCATTAGAGTGTTTGTATCGATCAAGTAGACATGCGCTACAAATGTCAAATAACATTTTCAGAAAGTAAAAGTTGACAAACGACTGAAAATAAGATCAGCGGCAGACACAGCGCAGCTCACTTGCTTGTGATTAAACGAAAATGGCTTACATATTGTCTGTTGTTCCCAATACTTGTTTCATGAGTTTGAACAACCACAAACACTGTTTTGCTGTGCTATTTTTATTTCTTAATATTCATTTCAGCAACTCATGCAGTGCTTATTCATTCTTGGCTCTTAATTTATTTTTTCCTGTGTTTGTTGTTTGGAATTTATTTGGAAAAAATAAAAATCTTAACATCATTACTATATGATGTCATTGTTAAATTATTCATTTTAAGGGGGGAAAAATAATAGCGTCTCATGCCATGTCTTTTATTGAACATAATGACTGAAAACTTTCTTTATCTGTTTGCAAGGTATTGAGAGTGATTGACCGACTAAGTCAGGGATACTTCTATAATTTTTCAAACACATTTTAAACTTAATATTATATACCCCTACTATTCAGGTGGAGCAGGCCTGCAAGTAGCGAAACTATGCATATAACTTACAGCCATTAAAAATGCATAAAAAAAAACAAAAACAAAAAAACACAGTAATATACTTTCTTTTTTTACACCCCCCAAATTAAATGAGAATAAACCACCTAAACGTGTTTTGCATTAAAATGGGGGTTGGCTTCCACCCAAAAATATTTAAGGGAAAAAAAAATTATTTTACACACACACGCACACACGCACGCACAGAAATTTCCAATGGTTGAAACACACCTGATTAAACCGAAACAGCTACATTTAACCATAAAACAAATGTGCGTATATTGTGGATTTCAAAACAAATTGGGAAGTTTTGTGTACAAACATTTATCATAACAGGAATTCTGTACAAAATAGAACAGGATCATATAGTACTATTAAAGCATCTGGAAGGAATAAATTAAAGATTTGTGTGGGCAGCACGGGCCAAGAGCTGCGGTAGTGTGGCACCACGAGATCTTATCCATAATCACCATTAGGCTAAACAAATGAGGTGCATAATCATACCTGGAATAAGATTTTACTCACATACTGTTAAAAGGCAGGGATGAAAAAAATGTGACAAAAGATCAGAAGACACTGCTTCAGTATCCAAAGAAAATTAATGCTCAAGTCTTACCTGCGAGCCACATAGTAGAAGACTGGATTGCCGTTCTTCGAAGTACCAGCCTGATAGAAGATGTTGAGAGTCTTCAATGCTTTAAATTCCTCTTTTTCATGGACCTGGTGCCTACAAGACAAAATAAAACTTGGGACCGGCAAGGCAACATTGGTGTTAAAATATTTTTCAATACATTATTTTATGAGAGCGCTTTCAGATTTGAGAAACCTACTTTACTAAAAAACTCATGCAGTTTATCCATCCATGCATTATCTGAACCGTTTATCCTCATAAGGGTCGCGGGCGTGCTGGAGCCTATCCCGCCTGTCTTCGGGCAGTAGGCGGGCTACACCCTGAACTGGTTGCCAGCCAATCGCAGGGCACACAAACAAAAACAAACAAAAAAAAAACATTCTCACTCACAATCACACTTAAGGACAATTTAGAGCAGGGGTGCCCATTATGTTGATCGCGATGTTGGTAGCTCGCGGCCTGGTCCCAAGTCGATCGCGAGGTGTGGAGATAAAAAAAAAAACAAAAAAAACTGTCTCTGTGCATGTTAGTAATATATTTTTGGTGTTCATGCACAATGCACCTAAATCATCCGATCAGTCTCACTTTCACAAAAAGTATAAAAAAAATAAAAATAAAATAAAGCAGGTCACTTTTAACCTATGGTGGCGGGTGACCTGCCTCACCGGAAGTTGTTAACGCTCAATAGTCTGCAATTGTAGCTTGCGATCAGAGCTGTTGCTATATAGCTTTTATTATTATTATTATCATCAGTCAACGTTTTGTGTACATGTCACCGATTGCACTCGCAAAGAATGGCAATCTGGAGGGCCAAGAGAAGCATTTTAAAACGGTGTGAGCTAAGATAGTTAACAGGCTGCAGAAGTGCATCGCATGCCTCTGCGTCAGGTCTCCCACTAAGGTATGCTGTGATTTTCTTTTTTAACAAACTCAAACTATTGTGTCCACTTTATTTTCTGTTTATTTTATCATAGGGGCCATTGTGGCTGTTGCTCATCATGGTATGCGTGTGTAAGTGCGTGCGTATGCAAGCGTGCGCGGTAACAGGTCGATCGCGGGAGGGTGGTTGATCGAAAAGTAGATCATCGGTCCAAAAGGTTTGGGCAACCCTGATTTAGAGCAGGGGTCCCCAACCTTTTTTGCCCCACGGACCGGTTTATGTCAGACAATATTTTCAGGGACCGGCATTTAAGGTGTGGCGTAATAATACAACAAAATAATATGGTATGAGCTGCATGAAAACTGTGGTGTTTTCGAAATATAATAATAAACACAAGGAGCGTCTAATCTGGCCGCAACACTCCAATCGCTATGGCAATGTTTAATGCCTTCAAAATACGATACAACGCAAATTCAAAGTGCATGAAAATGACGACTCACCACAGCACCGAGCTTGATTTTCTGCAACCAGACGGTCCCATCTCGGGGTAATAGGAGAGACAATGACACCGCAAGTGTGTGGTTTATGTCCAGTCTACTTCGTAATTTTGTTTTCGT